TTAAACTCCCATATCTTATGCTTTGAAGGCGGGTTGGGAGGGCTCCCTATAATAACCTAACGGGGAGGCGCTGCCCAAAAGGATACCTCTTTCAATTCGGGATAAACTGTTCCACGTTATTTCCGACTTTTGACAGGGACAAGCCAAAGAAACTAATGGGAAGAAAAAAACACCTTTAAATTAGAAAAATTGCCAAGTATAAAAGTCGGATTTGATGAAAACTAACTAAGATATAGTTCCTCAATGTCGCCAAATTTTACAGACTTTTGTATAGGGGGGGGATGAGCACAAACTTGCTCTCCCCCCTCCCCACCCTCCACATACAAACGTCTGTCAATTTTTGTAACTTTACGAAGCTATATCTTCGCACACTTAAGACGTATCACTTTCTCATTTGGCAATGCCACAGCCACTGAAATAAAAATAAACTTCTGTTAGTACTAGATATGTGTCAGAGGCCGTGACAGGAAAAGTATCTCCTTCCTCTACTGCTGTGACGTTATTGAGATGATTGTTTGCACAAAAAAATTATAAAATAAAATAAAACAAGAACGAACAAAAGCCTAGCACACAATTCAGTTTTTTCACGACCATGAATCCACCGATTCGAGTTATTTCCAATCCTGTTAAACCTAGTTCATTCTTAGCTGTCGCTTATAAGCCGTGGGATCATGATACACCTTCTTAAGGGGTTTTAATTCAGCGGGAATGCGTATAGACGGAGGGGCTTAAATAACCGACGGGGGGGGGGAGGAGGGGGATACAGATGGCATGGAAAAAGAGCTTTGAAATAAGCTGTAGCACTGCTGACCAAAATACATTTTTGCATTTACTGCTCGTTAAATAAGGCTTCAAAACGTCATTATAAATCGACTTCAATTTAGTTCAAGCAAGAGGGCAGCGCTATTTTCGGTGGGGCTTATATTCGTTTTTTTTTTTCTTTGTTGTTGTTTACAGCCATGATATCGGCCCATAACTGAAGAAGTCGGGGAAGGCTAATAAGTCAAGGCGCTTGTTCGCCACTTTGACTGGGCCAAGATGTTTGTCAAGTGCACTGTGGGACTTTTTTGGGGGACGCGTTTTCAACAGTGGCGATATAAGCGGCAGTTTACGGTGTTTCACGGAATTGGTTCAGATTTTCAGATCCACAGAGAAAAGAGCAAACTGTTCTTCACTGACGCGCTAAATACATGTAACAAGTGCATTCGTGTACACTGTGCACTGCACAGAGCTGAGTGATATTTCAATAGAAGGATTTATCTCTAAATTTCTACATGTATAGTAAACAATACTATTTTCAGGGTTTCCGGTAACTCGTCCTTGCAGAGACTTTATTCCTTTCATCTCGCTCTGAATCGATCTCTTCCCCGTCTTTTTGTCAATGGAAAGTACAGGAAAGGGTACCTTTTCTGTCAAAAAATGGTTCGTATTTTTGCTGTAGCAGACGTCGTTACATAATGTGGAACGTAACCTTCCTTTTTTCAACCCATACTTGCTGCAAAACAATTGCGAGACATTTATGTTAGAGGCAGCTTACTTCCCGAGCGGTAACAAAATTGTGAGTCAAGTAGTGCGTAACATAATGGGCTTACGCAGCAACGGCGGAGGAAGTTTTCCTTCTTAAAGAAAACTTGCTCTTGTAACTGAAGGTATGTAAGCCGGTTTTCACGCTATGATTTTCGAAAGAAAAACGAAAGGGTTAAAACTGGCTGAAAATCGGATGGATTAAAATAATCTGTTACATCACCATACATTTTCTTTGGAAATAAATCGGGCATACAATTGCTGTGTGTAAACCAGCTTTTAAATAGCATTTTTATTACTATTTTCTATTCAACTAAGTCGTGCAATGCGAACGCCCAAAGACGAGTTTTAGTTTCTCTTTTTACAAAACTAAGGCCCACTCCGAACGGTCTGGCATGAATTATTCTAGGGTACAAGCTCGCCTGTTAATTAATTTTAATAGCAACATAGTAGATCCCCGCCATACGACCACCTCGTTATTACGACCATATTCTCTCGATTCAAACGTAGAAATCAGACTTATTTTAATTTTTATTTTTTTCGAAATTCACCCGTTAAAGCGACCACCCCATTATTACAAGCAGGATTTTATAGCTCAACGGTGATCGCATTGACGGGGTTCCACTGTAGTTAATTGCTTTATGACGTACTCCCGTTTGAGGATCGAGACTGACCTTCACTGAAAGAAGGCTAATCGAGTAACAATGCGCTTAACATCAACTGCGTTCTGCACTTGAATATAGACATTTTTAACTTTTACTGTAAAGGCATCCTTAACCACTTTAAATAACGTATTCACATGTATATCATAGTCATTAAAATAAAGTACAAGAATAGTTACCAATAAATAAGAACTTGTTTAAATAATTAACATCGTTTAGACTTGTTTCCTTCGGTAAGGCTCTTTTAGAAAAGCAAGACACCAAGATGCCGAAAAACAAAGGACATTACTAAATAAACTCCTTCTAAATGCATTTATCAGACATAATAGTCTGTTTACTTTTGAAAGCTACTTCATTATATAACTAACAGAAAAACATTTAATTGTTCAGTCCTCTGCACTATTAGCTTTCCACTGTATCCGCTTTATCCGCAGGGTCTTCGTCAAACTGCGACCTTTTCAATCCAAGAAATCTTAGAGCATTTCCACCTAACAATTTATCCTACAACAAGAGATGGATTTTGAATTAAAAGGTTTTTTAGACTATTCAAAGTCCTCTATTTCTTCGTAAGATCGACAGGATAGAGCGATAGCTTACCGGAACGGACGGTTATCTCGGTTTTTAACCGAGGGAGCGGACCTATCCAAGATGGCCGCCCGTAACGCCCGACGATCTTACGGAAAAATAGGGGACTGCGAATCGAATGATGAACGGGAGATTTGATGATGGACAAATGCACTCCGCTAGCAGTTACACCACCTATTTTCCAAAATAACAGGGAATTAACTCCACTAATAATTGTTGAATAACTGTTGAATTGCCAACTACATGTAGAACCTACTAAAGCAGGGTAGGACTAAACCTCTTGTAGA